TTAGAATGTTCTATTTAGTTTTAAAAGGTAGAGGAGATTTCTACAATACCTAATGGTTCTTTAGATTCAATTTCTTTGGAGCTCAAAGTGTCGATAAAATGATTGTCGGTGAGGTAAAGGTGACCTTATTCGCAAATCTAGATAGCTTAGAATTCATGGCAATAGAATGCTAAGAAACATCTCGAGTTGCTGGTAGATACCAGAAAAAAAGTCGAGTGCAAAGGGTTAACAGAAAACCCCGACTCAGAGCGCGAGTATGCCGGTGGAGCGTGGTCTATACTACTGCGGCTGTCTATGCGTAGCCTATACTACTGTGACCGTCTAGCGCGTACCTTATACTACTGTGACCGTCTAGCGCGTAGCCTAGTATAGTAATCAGCCAATGGATATCGCAAAACCTAAAGAAACTATAAATTTGTTGGACAGTGTAATTTAATACGCCTATAAATGCGTCAACTAATTCACCGTTTGTTTTGCAGACATCAATAAAAATCAAACTATTAGGGCAAACCGTTGCAAAATATTTAACGGAAGGAGAACTTGACGTAAGCGCTTATTCGTAATCCATTGTTTATAAACTTTTCACTATCATAGCAAAAGTGTTTCTTTCAGGAAGAGAAAATTAAAAAGATCACTCAAGACGCTAAAGTTGGTAAGTGTATTTAACTCGATCGTTTTAAGGCAATTCCTTTCATTCCTAAATTTCTTTAAATTTGCGAAGAATTGGACGATGCAAAGGCTATGGTGGCGGCCCTTGAATTGATTTTCACGTCGTCTGCGCGACACGGAGTTTCCGCGGCTGATTTGAGTAGCGAATTGCAACAACTTGGCCTACCTCGAGAACATAGCGCCGCGCTTGCTAGACTGCATACGGATCATTGTCCTCAAATCACAGTTGCTTTATCTTCGCAGTCTTTGAGGGGTAATTACGACGTTGGAATTATTTTAGCGAATAGAAATTAGGTGGCCTCTCCTTCTCAGATAAATGCATAACATATCCCGTTAACGTTTTCGCAGTGAGCAGATTGTCGTCGATCGAAGTCTTACCTTGCGACAATTCCTCGCCGTTTTCCACGATATCCTTAAAATTGAAGAAATTGGATGGCACCGGTGAAGATTCTACTATCAACATTTCGAAAGATGATCTACAAGTTTTGCTGACAGGTGAGCGTATACGCGTGAAATAGCTATGGCTATTTTGCATCTAATTTTCTCATTCGTTTGTCTTTGTTTTCAAGAATTACGGAGGGCAAAGTCGTTAATGGACAATCTTTAAATATCTATTATTAAGATGCCGTACCATATATTGTACTCTGCTGCTGCGTAATGCAATTTATTATCAATTAAAATAACACTCAGCGACGTACACTTGGAGATAGCGGTAAGCTACTTTGTTGACAGTTTATTGTATTCCAAGATTCCCATCCTGGTATCAAGCTTTTTTCTTGATTTCACGTTTACTTTCGTTAAACCTTTCTTTACTGGCGGGTCTTGTATGTCTCGTCTGAACAGAATTCATTTATAAAAACTATATTATTTTATTTATTGCTTCCCCGTTAATTTTCTCACGGTACTGTACTATAATTATACGCTATTTATACGCTTTGAAAACTATTGTGACTTTCGAGTCCACTTTTGTGAAGTTCGTTTTTAATTGTCGGATGGCAGCACGAGCTTTCCTTCTTTTGGAAGCTTGAGACAACTCTGTAAGATTATACAAGACCAAGATGGACGCCTAGATTTTCAAAACTTTTGAGAAATTCGGTAAATAAAGGGTTAATGAAACGGATAGGCAATAATTGCAATGGAGGTGTCAACGGATAAATGGATCGAAAATTTTTTAATCAAAGAAAACTTAGAGATTTTCTTTCTCTTCGTTATTTCTCAGTGATTCTTAGAACCACCGAACGAAGTATATTTAAATTTCGATAGCTTCTCACCTAAAGTTAGTTTCCAAAATTATCATTCATCGCTCTGTGCGGTTCTTGTCTTTTATTTCGAATTCTACATTTTTACACAGTAAAATCTACCCAACTAGTAACTAAAGCTTTGAAACGAATTTCTTAAATCGCTACTTAGTTCTAGAAATGGAATGCGATAAGAGATGTTTTGGAATAAGCAGAGGACGTTGTTTACATGTTTTAACAAAAGAACCTGTAATATATTTAAGTTATAATGTATATTTATTATATTATCATTTTTGTCATATAGCATAACATTGTTATTTCTATATTAATAATAATAATAATAATAATAATAATAATAATAATAATAATAATAATCATAGCACCATGAACACTCCACAGTAAGTATTTTAATTCGTTATTCGAAAAACGCGACGCGCCGATGCGCTTCAAGGGGTGAGAACCGCGACTCGTATAATATAATCGTGAAATACCGAAGTCGCTTTATGTTTCTGGTGCAATCTCGTAAGGACATAGGACCCACCTGCGAATGACTAGATGATTTTAACATTAGGAAACGAGATTTTCTGACTAGACCCTTGGCGTATCCGATGTTTTCCGCGGAGTAAACATACTCTGATCTATCATGCCTTAAAACATAGATCGCTTCCTTTCGAAAACGTCGACTTTTTACCATTTTATTTACCATTTTAGATTTAGGAAAACGTGGATGCTAAGACCGAACGAGAACATTTACCCCGTTGCGTTCGATAGTCAGATACGTCGGTAATTGAAGAGAAAAAAAAAAACATCACCCGGCTCTTCTAAAACGGATTTTCAAACGAAATCGTATCACCGTTCTCACACCCGATAAGCACCGTGATTTAGGGGTTCGTACAGGTGTCGAGGCTGACATTTTCGTAATTCTTTATCGTTACTTCTTTTAAGTTTGTTCCTATTTTTCTTTGCCCTTGCATCCATATATATTATATTATATATTTGTGTGTATAATATATATATTTTATTCTTCGCACCTTCATATTTGTTCTAAACTGTCTTAGTGAAAGCTCGTTCTCGTTAATTATATCTTTCCTTCTCTCAATTTAAATTCATCCCCTCTCTTCGGAAACTCGTCGACGGTGTACCTTCGATCGTTCGTCTCATCTCACCAACCGATAATATTCTCACTCATTTATCCCTCTCGTATCCGTTAAATTCAATTTCATAATTTTAACATCCTACCTAAATAGCTGGTCTTTATTACTTGCCAATAAATAATACATAAATACATAGGTACATGTTTCGTCACCATCGCACATTCATGCGACTAGCTCTCCGTATTTTTTTTCTTTTTTACTAATCAAGCAAAGAAATCGTCCATTTTCGTGAACAGCGATCGACGTTTACGACGATGATAACGAAAGTGACGTTTGGTGCCGTTCGTTACGAAAACAACTGTAACGGTAATTATAATATTAGGCTAGCAACGATAATGATAATGGTAACAGTAGCAACGGTAGTGATAGCGAGAATGATAATAATAAACAATAGTGGCGACGTGTTCTAGTATCGTTGGCGATAGTAAATACCAGAGACATGACGTCATCGCTGTCGTCGTTACGAACGTCAACATCGTCGTTGTTATTGTTGTCATCATTAACATCGCTCGATGCGTTGGAACCTCGTCGTCTCTCTCTTCGCTACAATTTCTTCGATACAGTCGTTGCAAAAAAACGCGTGTCGTAATGAAGAGACATGTACGTAAGTAGAAAAAAACCCGAATCAATTCGAAATTCTTAGCGACGAGATTAGGATAGTGACACTTCCCTTTGTAGGAATGTATCTCGCGTAATAACAGCGACCAACGAAATATTTGTTCGTAACATTTTTAGGAGTATACATATATAATATATCAGAGCCAGCGTATTCTTTGAGATCTCAGGGCACAGCGAAATATTTGTTCGTCAAAACGAATATTCGTACGGTTATCGTTATCGGCGCGGTTGTATCCTTTGGTTTGATTTCAAAATGGCGCGCGTTTGGTATCCGTACCTTCATCGTTCGCGAAAGTGATGTACTTCATTTGCTCCAAATGAGATACTTTGATTCTTTTTTTAAAAAAATACCTACGAACGGATTTAGGATAGGGGCGACTAGCTTTGTTTGCAACGTATCGGTCTGAACGGATCACGGAGAAACAGAGATAAAATTATCGAACGTGGACGTTCGTCCATTGGATGGATCTTGTACGAATTTATCGCCGTTTCAATGTCTCCTTCCGATATTTTACTTTCTTTGGTGCGAGAAAAGGAATCCCTTTCAACAGGTATCACTTTCGAATTATTCTCGTGTCGTCTCTGTGCGGACTCGAGTAATTTATTGGAATGGAACGTTTGCATTCGCAATCCTTGACGCATCACTGGTTGCTTCTCCGTCTAATCTATTCGACTCCCAACGACCGTCAAAGTTCGTCCTTTAGTACTTGCGTATTTCTATTCTCTACGGTATAGAAACACGACATAGATAATTCCTATCTAATAGTCGCCAATGCGCGTATAGTCGTTAATCTACACTCGAATAGACATCAACGACGAAAAAGTAAAACCATTGAGTCGGGTGACTCAAGCTCGTATCGACCTATCCACGAATTCGAGTAGCCTACGAACAAATCTCTCGTTTCTCGAGTTTCTCTTGGTCGTCATAGTTGTCTCGTCCTCTTTTCTCCCCCGTTTATCGTGTAACATCGTTGCCTTGTTCCTGTCCTGCTTCGATAGTCCTAGACTCCTTTCCCGATGACCCACTGTCAGTAAAGTGGTACTCGTCGCTCTTAAAGCGGCAACCCTGTCGATATATAAAAATGTACTCGCGTTTCGCGACGTCGAGAAGAGGCTCCGAACACTTTCTTTCGTGTTCTCGAGCTTCGACGAATGCCGACGCGTGGAAATTGGAATATTCCGCACGGATTCGTAGGGCTTTAGGAATAATGGTATCTCGTACCGACGAAAAGGCTACTTTTCGATACTTTCTCCTTACGATCCCGTCAACAATTTCAAGCTTCGATCTATCACAGCCCTTTTTTTTTTTTATTTTCCTTCCGGCTCTCTTTGCTCTGGCAGTAACCAGTACTCTGTTTCTTCCCAGGTAAATGTCGTTCGAAATTAGTAAAACGATACAGACCGGAGGCTAGATTGACTTTACTCGGAAGCAAGCTCGTGGATTGTATCCGGGCGGGAAGAAGGGTAGTCTTGGGTTTTCTGTTTACCGTCGTCCTTGGATGGAGGAGGTGGGACAACGGTAAGTCGAAGGAGGAATACTGCGATACAGGTCGCGGTTAACTCTCGATATAGGTCGACGTAACTCTCGAGAGACGAATCTGGATAGAACGGGTGCGGTGAAATTAAGAGCGAACTCTTCCGGCCGGGATAAACGACGAAACTTTACAGATCGCGCTGCCTCCGAATCAAATCGACGTAGCCTCCGTTTAGAATTTGTCAAAGTTCTAGGAGCCGCTAGTAGGGACGGCGGGTTACGACGTTTCGCGGCGCGTCGCCTCGATTTTTTTCATGGAAACGAGTCCAGAAACGAAGCGATGGTGTATTTTCTGGACACCGCTCAGAACTCGACTATTACGGCTGAGCAGGCTGCCAATCCCTAGAATTCGAGTCTGTAGGCACTGCAGCTAGTCTCGTGGTCCTGAAGGTTGATCGTACATCTGGATGCCGAGGGCGAGAGGTCGATATGGTTCGCGGCGAGGGCCTCTTCGTTGTCGGCCACCCAGTAACCCAAAGTGTCCGTGTCGTAAGTTGGTATTATGGTCACCTCTGAAAAAGAAATGGGTGTTAACGTGCGCGAAGATGCGTAGACATACGGTCAGTCCCATAATTACGTGTTCCAAGATGCCCGCGCATCATGAGTTCGCAGAATATAATTTAATTATTTCGCGAACACGGAACTATAAACTCGTAAATAAAACAGGCAGTATCTGTCATACATTTGTATGAATATTGTTTTAAAATCAAAATTCATTTTTTCCCATAATTTCGACTGTGGATGCAAAACTGATATATATTTTTAATACGTGGGTTTTTGCTACTTTGGCCATTATAAAATAAATATATTTTGTGAAAGTGTGATGAATGTCGCGGGCCACGGGTTGTCCAACCTTGGTTCGTCATGCAATCACGTATACATATATCGTGCAAACCTTGCGAGTTGTCTTTTGGGTAGACACGAACGCAAGCAGCGTATTTTTACGCGGATGTAATATTATTTTTCTTGAAATAACATAGATGCGAGAAATTCAGTGAAAGTAGTTTACATATTCTAAGAAAATTATTTCTCAAGTTATTGTCAAAAAACCGCTTTTGATACTAACAACATTTGGAAACTACCCCAGGAAAATTTATTAAAGCAAAACCAACACCATATTCGGATTCAGCACCCAAAAAACCCTATAGATACCGAGTTTCGTGATGATTGGATACAATTTTTTTATTCCCTATAATAATCCTGGGGAAATTGACAAAAATCGTGACCCAAGATTGGCTTGTCAACTTTAAACGTCCATAACTACCTCAATTCTTAACCGATTTAATTAATCCGCGCGGCGTTGGAAAGCTCTTTTAAAGCCCAATAAAAGATGTTCGATGCTAAAAAACGCTGAGACGGCTTTATCACCCTCAGAATTCGTGTCAAAGATCACAAACCTAAAAAACACTTGCGAATTTTTTTGAGGCCCTTACAATTGTTTCAGCGGGTCACCGATTTTTTTATAAGTATCTATTATGAAGATGGACATTCGGTAAAAATTTCATCGAATTCCTATATAAGGTTCTGGAGTAAAAAAATAAATAGTTGCAAAAGCTGAAAATTTCAAGGGGTTCTTGAAATTCAAAATTTCAAGGGGTCCTTGCCGATTTTCGACCAAAAAATTTCTATTTTTAGATCTCGCCCATAATATGGTTTTCAATGTTTTCTAGAGCGAGAAACACGATTCTGAAGTCGGTTTCTCGATAAAAAAATTTTATCGCGTTATTCACTTACGAAACTCTCGTTTTCCTTGGGTTTAGTCAATTCTGTCTGCCACTTATCGGGCCTTTGCTGTAGTGCCTTTTTACCCTTAACAAATAACTTTGTAATAAAGCGTTTCTGAGCAAACTTGAGAAAACATTTTTTTTCTTATTTCCGCTCGTAGGATACGCTCCCAAAGTTTGTCAATTAAAACCCGCGACACTGTACACGCGTAAAGCTTAGTCACGTAGATATGTATAACGAAACATTGATTTGGAAGCATCAAACCTATAACTAAAATTCAGAAAAAATTCCTTCGATTATAGGACTGACCGCAAGTTTAAGATCAAAATCAAAATAAGATTAAAATTTAAACGAAACATACCGAGATCCTTGTCTTCCCAAGTCTTCTTAGCTTCCAGCAAAGCGTCGTACACCTCTCGGCTGGGCTCGGTGCCGCTGAACACGTAGTATCTCGCGCGTACTCTCTTGAAGAAGTCCAACGACGTGTAATAAGAGTTCCCATGATGAGGCACGTACGTCAAATCCACGTACACCGGTTGAACTTTATTCTTCGAGTCTTTCATCTTCTTATCGTTCTTTCCCGGGCTCTCCGAGCGCTTTTTATTCTTCAGATTCTCGGACAAGACCTTCCTCGCTTGCTTCTTCTCCTTCTTGGGCGTGCTCGGAGTGCCTTTGTTCGAGATCTCATTGCTCACAGGTGTCGGAGAAGGTAACCTGAGGGGTTCTCCCCAGTCGACGGTGGCGTCGAAGTTTCGCGAAGCGTCGTCGTCGGTCGTCGTTCCAAGTTCGTTCGATGTCGCAGCTGGCACCGGGGTCTTCATCAAGTTGAACTTTTGCGGCGGTTTAGGAGACGGAAGACCCAACGGTGTCCCCCAACCCTCCAACGGGTCCTTCTTCGAGTCTGGTTTCGCATCCTCGCCACTCTCATCCGCGGCGTCGTCCTTGACGTCTCTTCGGGCACTGCCGTTCGTGTATCTCGGCGACAGTCCTCTACCCAGCGACTCGGTCGCTTCTTTCATCTCCCTATGTTCCATCAGGGCTTTCTCAAAATCCAGATCCGCCTCGTCGACGTACCTCTTCGGGTCCGGTTTCTCTTCATATCCACCTGCGTACTCCTTTTCTACCGTGAATATCTTCGACGCGTAATCACTGGGTATCGGAATAGGTCCGCTGCTTTGGCGGATGCTGCTACCAACATCCTCCTGGAATGTCTTCATGGCACTGATCTGAGGCGGAACAGCGGGCAGCTCGCCGTAGAAGCTGCTACTCATCGCAGCCGCCGAGAATCCAACCGACGAATCCTCCTTCAAGTATCCACTCGGGTACTGACTAGTAGACGAGTGTCCCTCGGACGACTTGATGCTACCGATGATACTGCTGATCGCGGATTCCGCCGCGTCTTTGCTAGGCAGGTACTCGTCTACTTTAACGTCCATCTTCTCCGTTAGAATCACCGTCTCGCCTTTCTCGTTCGTCGTCTCCGTGACCTCTTTGGTCGTCGTCACGATCTCGCCGTCGTCCGAAACCGTTTTCGTCGTGGTGATGATGGTTCTGATTACTTCGCCCGATCGGAAACCTTCCGGCGTTCCGGTCAAGGATCTGCCTTCGGACCTTCTGTCGGGCGTGGACCTTCCGGAGCCGTAGGATTGACCGCTACCACTGGCGATGTCGGAGACGATGTCGCGTACGAGAGGGGACATCGGGCACTTGTCCTTCTGCTTCGAGTCTTCGGTTCCTTCCTCTTGCTTCGATTTCTCGCTTTCCTTGATAGATTCCTTTGCGAGAGTCACTCCACTTGTTACTTTTGCGTCCGTGCTCGACGAACTTGACTTGTCGCCAGACGTCTCTTCGGTAATCACAATTTTCTTCGTCTTAGTTATCGTTTCGATCGTTTCCGGAACCTCGGTCGCGGTTCCTCTTATTCTTTCCGCGTCCTTATCCCCGATTTCGTCATCGGAGACGACGATTTCGCGTTTGATCACCTTCGTGATCACCACCGGATCGTCCTGCTCGATGATCTCTCGCTTTATAATTTTTCGAATCGTTTCGGGATCGCCTTCGGCTGGAATCTCTCGTTTGGTCACGGTCTCCGAAATAATTTCGGGCTCTTGTTGGTCCACCACTTCCCGCTTCACGATCTTTTTAACCACGATTACTTTGTCGTGGAATTCTTCGTCGGAGTCTGCTCTGACGTCCGACTCCGTTAACTTCCCGGCTTTGTCCGAGACTTCCGTTTCTCCGATCTTGCTCTCCTTCAATACGGTGACTATTTGCGTTGATTTCGGCTGTTCTGTAGGGGACGCGGTAGGTTTCTGTGTTACTGTGGGGATTTTGTCGGACGATTTACTTTCCGCGAATTTATCTTCGGCTTTCTCGACTGTGGAAGCTGTGGGTTCGGAAGTCGAGTCCGGCGTCCCGTCCCGGGTCACGTCCGGCGTCGATTTCCCCGAAAGCGTCGTGATGTGAGTCGTGCGTATCTCCGTCATTCCTGCTAGGAACGCTTTGTGGAACTGGCTCTCGTAACTCACCGGGTAATCGGAAATCGACGTCTCTTTATCGCGGCCTTCCGAGTACTCGGTTGTACTCTTGTACTCTTTGTAACCGTACGACGACTTCGTTCCGTCGTCGGCGAGCTCGAAACGAGGCTCCGGCGACTTCTCGTATCTGTAATCGTCCTTTTCATAACTCTCGTCGGCTCCGTCTTGATAGATCTCCGCGTCGATCACGAGATCTCTCGAGAGTTTCTTCTTCACGATCACTTCCTCTATTATCTCCAAAATGATGTACCGGGGCAAACGCGTCCTAACGATCACTTCCTCCAAGATCTCCTCCGTGATTCTCTTCGCTTTCTTTATGTAGTCTTCTTCTAGGAGTCTCTCGATCTCCGATCTCTTTTCTTCGGATATCGAAATTTCCTCGTCGATGTGCGGCTCGGAGCGAGCGGGACTGTCCAGGGTGGATTTCTCGGAACACAAGCTAGGACTCCTCGAATCGCCTCTCTTCTCTCTGTACCGAAGCTCGAGGAAACCTTTCGGCGTTGGCTTCTCCTCTTCCAGTTTCTCCACCTCGCTGTCCATCACCCAACTCCTCTCGAGCTTCCTCTTCGCGACGATCTCCTCGATGATGGTCCTGAGAATCGCTCGCGGTACGTTCCTCGCTCTCGAAATTTCATCGAAAATGGCCATCGTAATTTTCGTACCTTTCGCGACGAATTCATGCGTTATATAATTTTCGACGTTGGATAGTTCCCTGGGATCGATCGCGGGTATTTTCGTGTCTTTCGCAGGTTGTTTTTGTACATCGAAATCTAGTATCGATTCTCTGCGTACGTTTTCCCTTGAAGTAACCGTGTCTATGATATCCGTCACCACGAACTCTGGGACAGAATAAATCATAACTATTTCTTCTATCACGCTCGTCGTGATCTTCCTTCTCTTTCGTATGTACTCCTCCAAGATATACTTCTCGATATCAGCTTGTTTCTCAGCAGTCACTCTGACGATGTCCTCCTCTCGTTCGTCGTCCCGATCGATGTCCTTTCTGGTACCGAAACCGGTAGCGTCGCCTTCGTCCGTGCTGCCGATAATTCCCAGCTCTTTTTCAATCACTTTTGTGGCGGCAATGCCGATCCCGGTAGAGTCCTTGAACGACCAGTCAGGAGTTTTCTTCTCGTCGAAGGATTTCCTTGGGTCCATATGGGCGAAGGACTCCGCTTCCTCTCGAACCACGTCAGTCTCTGTAGCAGATGTCTTTTCTTGGTATATACTCGCAGTTCTAGACCTGGCCAAGGGCGTCTTATCTCCGGTATATTGGACGCTCTGCGATCGAGATCTGTCTTTAGGTGTCTGCTCTCCGACCGGGGAGCTTGGTAGCTTGGTATCATCCTGCGATTTATCAGGAGATTCCTTGAGCGTTTCGGATCTTCCTTCCGCAGCTTCTTTAGGATCGGTGGACGCGAATCGATCGGTAGGCACTTTGGACTCTTTCGCGTCGCTAGGTTTCGCGTCGGTAGGTGATTTCGATTTATCCTCCTTCGCGTCGACGTCTTTTAGATCGACCTCGTCGTCGCGAACGCTAGGAGACTTGGAACGATCCGTGGCGTCCTTGAAGTCGCTGGAAACGCTCGTCGCACTCGGCGATCTCGACTTGTCGAGGACCTTTTCATCGAGGTCCTTTAGACCGAGCATTTCGTCGGAGATACTCACAAACTTCGAGTGATCCATCGTCCCTTCGGAAACGGCGGGAATGCTAATTACGCTGGCGGATCGAGACTTGTCGGTCGCTTTATCGTCGACGTCCTTCGAGTCGGGTCTCTCGGGGGTGACGCTGGGCGACTTGGAACGATCCACAGGAGCGGTCACGCTAGGAGATCTAGATTTTTCAACTTTGTAGTCAGGCGAACCAGACTTTTCTGTAGAAACAGGACTCGCGATGCTAGGAGATCTGGATTTGTCAACTGCTTTATCGTCGATGTCCTTTAGGTCGGGTTTCTCGGTGGTAGTGCTGGGTGGCTTGGAATGATCCGGTGCTTCTTTGGGCTCTCCAGAGATACTTGTCACGCTGGGAGATCTAGATTTATCAAATGTCTTGTCGTCGGGCGAATCAGACTTTCCTACAGCGGAAGGACTCGCGATGCTTGGAGATCTAGATTTGTCAATCGCTTTATCGTCAACATCCTTTAAATCCGGTTTCTCGGTAGTGATACTGGGTGGCTTGGAATGATCCACAGGAGCCACGCTAGGTGATCTAGACTTTTCACTTATTTTGTCGTCCGGTGAATCAGACTTTTCTGCAGCAACAGGACTCGCGATGCTAGGAGATCTGGACTTGTCAACATCCTTTAGGTCGGGTTTGTCGGTAGTGATGCTGGGTGACTTGGCATGATCCATAGGAGCGGATGTCACGCTAGGTGATCTAGATTTTTCACTTATTTTGTCGTCCGGTGAATCAGACTTTTCTGTAGCAACAGGACTCGCGATGCTAGGAGATCTGGACTTGTCAACATCCTTTACGTCGGGTTTGTCGGTAGTGATGCTGGGTGACTTGGAATGATCCATAGGAGCGGATGTGACGCTAGGCGATCTAGATTTGTCACCTACCTTCTCATCGACCTCCGGTGAATCAGACTTTCCTACAGCAATAGGACTTGTGTCACTAGGAGATCTGGATTTTTCACCTGCCTTCTCCTCGACATCCTTTAAATCCGGTTTTTCGGTAGTGATGCTGGGCGATTTCGAATGATCCATAGGAGCGGATGTCACGCTAGGTGACCTAGATTTTTCACCTGCCTTCTCATCGACATCCGGTGAATCGGACTTTGCTACAGCAATAGAACTCGTGACGCTAGGAGATCTGGATTTTTCACCTGCCTTCTCATCGACATCCTTTAAATCCGGTTTCTCGGTAGTGATGCTGGGCGATTTCGAGTGATCCAGGACTCTTTTAGACTCGCCAGGACTAACTACGCTAGGCGATCTGGATTTGTCAATTATTTCGACATCTTTCAAGTCGGGCTTTTCGGTAGTAGTGCTCGGTGATTTCGCGTCTCCAGGAACGCTTATCACGCTAGATGATCTAGATTTTCCAACTATCTCCTCGACATCCTTAGTATCAGACTTTTCTCCGGCAATGCTGGGCGATTTCGAATGATCCAGGACTCCTTTAGATTCCCCAGGGCTAACTACGCTAGGCGATCTGGATTTGTCAACAATTTCGACATCTTTCAAGTCAGGCTTTTCGGTAGTAGTGTTCGGGGATTTCGATCGATCCGTTGTTTCCTTCGCGTCTCCATGAACACTTATCACGCTAGATGATCTAGATTTTGCAATTACCTCCTCCTCGACATCCTTCGAATCGGCATCTTTCGAATCAGGCTTCTCACCGACGACGCTAGGAGATTTCGAACGATCTTTTGCGTCTTTCGATTCGCCGATCGAGCTCGTCACGCTAGGCGATCTAGACTTGTCGATCGCTTTCTCGTCCACATCCTTCGAATCGAGTTTCTCTTCGGGACTCGGCGACTTGGAACGATCAGACGCGATCGTCAAGCTGGGCGACCTCGATTTCTGGATCGTCTTGTCCTCTGCATCTTTCATGTCAGACTTTTCGTCACTAATGATCGTAGATTTTGCGTGATCCATGGATTCTTTTGGTTCACCGGCTACGCTCGGCGACCTAGATTTTCCGGTCTCCTTCTCATCCACGTCTTTCATATCGGGCTTCTCGCTAGCCATGCTCGGCGATCTGGATTTCTCTACCTCTTTCTCTTCGACATCTTTTACATCGATCTTTTCGCCAGCGAGGCTCGGCGACTTCGAATGATCCATCGTTTCTTTAGTTTCGCCCGGAGAGCTAGTTGCGCTAGCCGATTTCGACTTGTCGCTTGCTTTTTCATCGACGACCTTTGGGTCAGGTTTTTCAATAGTTATGCCGGCCACGCTCGGGGACCTAGATTTATCAATAGTCTTCTCGTCAACATCCTTCAAGTCGGGTTTCCCGCCGGTCGGACTTATCAAACTCGGGCTTCTCGATTTATCAATAGCCTTCTCTTCTACTTCTTTCAAGTCAGGTTTCCCGCCGATCGGACTTATCAAACTAGGTGACCTAGATTTATCAATAGTCTTCTCGCCAACTTCCTTCAAGTCGGGCTTCCCGCCGGTCGGACTCATCAAACTCGGGCTTCTCGATTTATCAATAGTCTTCTCGTCAACTTCCTTCAAGTCGTGTTTCTCGCTAGCGACGCTTGGGGATTTAGAATGATCCGAAACGTCTTTCGTTTCGCCAGCAACGCTCGCAACACTCGGCGATCTAGATTTATCGATCTCCTTCTCGTCGACATCTTTCGTATCAGGCTTCTCACTAGCGACGCTTGGCGATTTCGACTTGTCGATCGCCTTTTCGTCGACGTCCTTCAGATCGGCAATTTCACCAGCAATGCTTGGCGATCTAGATTTATCGATCTCCTTCTCGTCGACATCTTTCGTATCAGGCTTCTCACTAGCAATGCTTGGCGATTTCGACTTCGCGGTTGCTTTTTCATCAACGTCTTTCAGATCGGCAATTTCACCAGCAATGCTCGGCGATCTAGATTTCTCAACCCCTTTTTCTTCAACATCTTTCGCGTCGATCTTCTCCCCAGCAAGACTCGGCGACTTGGGATGATCCATAGTTCCTTTTGTTTCATCCGGAGAGCTTGCCACGCTAGGCGATTTCGACTTGTCGATCGCCTTTTCGTCGTCTTTCAATTCGCCAATTCCACCGGCGACGCTCGGTGATTTCGAGCGATCGATGCTTTCTTTGGTCTCCGCTGATACGCTCGGCGATCTGGATTTCTCGATCTCCTTTTCGTCGTGCTTTTCGCCAGCGATGCTCGGCGATCTCGAACGATCCGTTGCTTCCTTGGCCTCGGCAGGAGAGCTCGTCGTACTCGGCGATCTAGATTTATCGATCGCTTTTTCCTCGGGTTCCTTCA